TGTGTGTGTGTGTATATATATGTATGTGTGCGTATGTGTACGTCCGTCCGGGTATTTCAAATTGGCATCCAAGCAAGCTCCGGCGTCAAAATTTTGCCAGTGGGTTCATCGACTAAGTGCCACCCCAGGACCGCGGCACCAATCCTTACGCAAGTCTGGGCCCGACGTACGAGGGGACGAAAGTTTCGGTGGGAAATTCGCTAACTCGGGATCCAGTAAAGCTAAAAAGCTGAAATTTCGAGATTATGTTCTACATCCAAATAAAACTCAAAGACTTCAAATTTGGCACTCAGGTATGCGTGGTTCCCGCGTATGACCCCGTGAGGGTTCCTGGCACAAAAATCGCTAACTTGGGAACTAGGAAAGCTGGGAAGCCGAAATTTTCAGGGATTTTTTCCAGTACATGTACAACAAAAATTTGTCAGATTCAGCCCCTAGGCATGCGTGGTTCTCGCGTACGATCCCGTAAAATTTCTTAGCTGAAAAATGGCTAACTCGGGAAATAGGAAAGCTGGGGACTGAATTTTTATGGGTATATTCCCAGTCCCCCGTAAAAGTTAAAGATATCAAACTCAACTCCCACATACGTGTCGTTCTCGCATACGGACCCATGAAATGTTTTGGCAGGAAAATTGCTAACTCAAGGACCAGAGAAGTTGGAAAGCTGAAATTTTAACGTATCTGCCCTGTCCAAGCACCGTGCAGACAATTAACTTCCCGAACTTCAAGGACTAGTGTGTCATAAATCCTAGTTAGCAGGTTTCCGAGCGATCTCATTACAGCACGAAATAGTGCAAAAACGCATGATTGCACGGGCCCGCCCGGTGCGCGTCGCCAGCGATTGTTACTAACGGCACTTTTTTTTTCCGGCAGATGCTTTTAGCTGAAAGATTGAGACTGATCACCACGATTGTCAGGAAACTTTCCCTTAAGATTTCAGCCTTGTGACTTCCCTGGCTCCCGAGTTAGCAACTTACTCCCTAAAAATTTCCATGGACCCGTAATGCGAGAACCACATAGGCTTGAACGTTCATTTTGGGGATAGGGGCCCATACATGCATGCAGATTAAGCTGCCAAGGTTTCAGCCTTGTAGCCTTTGTTGATTTCGAAATGAAAATTCGGCATGGACGCGCACACAGACACACATACATACAGACAAATGATTATACATATGTGCATTATCATTGACAGCATAGTACTAACGATACTCGTTTTCAATGCAACAAAGGCAGTGCTCAAGAGGAATGATTGATGCTTTTCTTAGGGTTTGTCAGGTCACTGAAGCTGACATCGGCAACTGGCACACCAGGCAGTTGCACAGTTTAAACTTCTAGAATCAGTAAGTCTCACAAACTTCAGCTACTGGTACCACTCCGGCACGGAAACTGCACAAATGTATGATCCCACCAACCCGCCTGGTTGCATTTGCATAAATCTGTAAAAACGCATAAAAATGGGACACACGATTATGAAATGATAAGGATATAGAAAAATCATTCAAAGGAAGTATTGTGGTGAATGAGCGCAGCGCAGTGTGGTGTGCTGCAATTCCACATCCAGAGGGCGGCCCTTTTCAAAAGGTTTCTCTTCCACCGATTGACAATATTTGTAATAAGAACACATCGGCCGAAGTTTGGTAAAGAAATATTGTTCAAAATTAACGCTCTGTGCCGTTACTTGTGGTCCTGGAAATACAAAACTGCAGCTAATTCCAGAAAATTGAGAGAACTGCTCTAGTATAGGCGATTTGATGAATATTGCTGTAGGACAACAGTAGTTTTCTGCGCGTGCACTGCCAACTTCAAAATTATATATACTTCTTTTTTTTTTTTTGGGTATTTATTAGCTATGGAACTGTACAAATTTTGCATTATGACAGCATGCTGCTGCACATTTACCATGCAGCTGGAAAAGTGGACCGAAGATGGCGTTGAAATTGAAATTGTCAAGAAAATCCCTGGTAAGGTTTATCCAAAAAAATTCGTCTGAAGTTTTGAAAAATAAGTATTAAGTTTGTCCATTCCAATTTAAACAATATATCGAAATTAGCAAAAACCTTCACAAAATCTTTTTACAATTTCGCAGATTTTTTTAAAGCAATTTATTGGAAGAAAAGCTGTTAAATTGTTTTTTTTTTCAAACGAATACATTAGAGGAATTGTGCACTTTGAAAAGTGAACCTGGCGATGTGCTTGAGCAGTACTATCGATTAACTGATGAACATGGAAAACTGATTGGAACAAATTTTGGCCAGAAACCGTAAGTTTGATTGTTAGCTATCAACACTGGCCGTCACTATTTATGGCATTTTAAAGAATTAGCAACCATGCGCATCAGGCACAAGCACGCTGCTTTGCAAAATACCCACTGACGGTGATTTCTCTATTTCTATGTTATGTATGATCAATTTCTCCCCGGCTTACACCCGAAACGTTTGGTGCTTTCTTCTTATAAGCAAGTAAGTGATGTTGAGTGGGAAGAAGTTGATGGTTACCTCTATCTTAGTTAAGAAGTAATCATGTGTTGCAACTTCCAACCGGAAATTGCACGTAAGAACGCTGCCAGTTGCGCAAGTTACAAAGCATCGCCGATGTCCTCAGTGTGCGAAACCGGAAGAACCGTGTTCAACTCTTCAATACCACCTTGTTCAAGACAGTGACGTGCGAATGCAAGACGCGGTCAGTAACAAAGACAGCGAATAATAGATATGACTGATACAGTTAGAAGCGAAAGGTGCTTGGAGTGCACCTTTATGAGCATAAAAGCACTTAAGAGCTTCCTTAAACGGACAGCATACGAAATGTCAATGCGATCACGCGAAAAGGAATTGCTGTTGGCTTTGCAGACGTCTGATGGGCGTCGTGTATTAGTAAGTGATGCTTGAGGAAAAGTAAGCGACTGGTCGGGAGACTTTTGTAGAGGCATTCCATGTACATTGAACAGGAGGTAGATACTTAATGCAGCTGTGTAAATCAAGTGCAAAGGGCACTGACTCCTGACGTTGGATGTGTATTCCAGTAGTATCACTGCGTGAGTTCTTCACGCGGTTTATTTCGGCGGCCTTGGTGATTGGTAATCTTGGT